ATTGAATATAACTATATAACATTTTATTTAAGACTGACTGTGCAAGTAATCCATGTCCTGCCAACGCTTCATGCTCAGCTGACTACGAAATGGAACCCTCAAAGTTTAAATGCATTTGCCCCAAAGGTTACGAAGGAACATTTTGCGAAAAAGGTGACACATTTAACAGATACATTCCAATTTTTCCGTTCGTCTACCTATCAAACTGCAGATGAATGTAAAAATGGAATTCACTTGTAATATTTCACTTGTAATATTTCACTTGTAATATTTTTCTAAATCTGTTTCCGCACCGCGGGAGTTTTTATCGAAACGGTTGGACAAAGACATAAATGCGAGCGCACTGGTTCTGACCAATCAGAGCGCCCGTAGGGTTAAAAAGCGTCATCCGTGCGTGTGTACTTTCAGATATCGATGAGTGCAGTACAAACAGACACAATTGTCCTTCGGATAGCAATTGCATCAATACAATTGGGGGATTCAACTGTACTTGTGGGTGTGGATTTCAATATGATGGCGAACATTGTGTCGGTACGTACACCAAAAACAAATTTTGACGACAAAGTCGATATTCCATTTTCTAATTTATTAAAACATTTGTCAGTGTAGCATTAAACGGAATGTTGTTGTTGCCAGGACGCGCAGTCCACGGTCTTGATGCTGCAAAGAATCTAGGGATTGCCATATAAAATTATATCTTCACTTTCCGTTTTTCACATTCTTGGTATCTTTGAAGCTCGAACATTTGTCAATGAAAATGTCTCATGATACTTTTCTCATGATACTTGTTCGATGAATTTAATACCCGCAATAGTATATTAGTAGTGTCTTTACCACCATTGAATTCAAATCACATATAGGCAAATATATCTTGAATATGTTAATTACGCATGGAAATCCTGAGATTCTTTGCAGGCTCAGGACTGTGGACTGTGTCCTGGTGACGACAACGTTTTTGGATCAACGAAGGCATCCAGCCGATGTTACCTTTTGTATACAGCTCAGTTCCAATCTTGAATCATATAGTAAAGCGGCATCATGAATTCATCGGACAGAATTGACTGACATCCATCCGGGACCTTACATGGTACTAGCGCGAAGTTTGAATGCGCACATTGATTCGTGACGGTAATTTTACCGTAWAAATAGGCAAAAACCGTCAAGTGTGACTTTTAAATTGCAAAATTATCATACCCAGAGTTTAGTTTGTTTAACTATTCTAACGGGTAATGACAGAAGAGATATCAATAAACATTTCTGTATAGTTGAAATACTAAATGAGCTGAATTACCTTCCATTGAATGTTGTTGACGAAGGTCGTATTACCACTCTGAAAACACAAAYATTTCTTTCCAATACCAATAGAATTCAAACGTATTTTGTCATACACTTACTATTAATAYTCGCTTTCTGTTAATAAGTGTATTGTGTGATATAAGTTTGAAATATTAAGAGAAACTTGCCTGAAAAACGCGTCCTCTCTCGTCGAGTCAAACGGCGCAACGCAATCCAAATGCAATGTTGGTCTATGGGATCATTTTTTGAAGCTAGAGTTATATTTTCTAGTAACGATTTTCAATTTATTAATGGTTAATAGATATAAACGAGTGCTCGTCGGACAAGTACAATGTAACCTACTGTGATACATGCACAAATCGACCTGGAARCTTCGAATGCACATGTCAACCAGGTATACTTTTGGGAAAGTCTTGATTAAATCTATATAAACGCATATTCATATCTGCATAATCCACCTTTTTCCAGTTCAAAGCGAACAACCGTCTCTCATGCGCAGAGACCATACTAAAAACAAAMGAAAGCACGAAAAAATGTTCTCACTACAATAGCACTAGGCATGTATTCCCAGAAGGTTCAMMSTCTTSCTCAGGCTAAGCCTCGAATCGCAGAAGATTCAAATTTTTAGAGCTATTGTAATGTCAACATTTTTTCGTGCTTTCTGTTGTCCTCTACGCAAGTGAGTCTRTTGTCTACAAAAACAGCGGTCGCTCGCATTKAACTGGAAAAAGGCTAATTCCGACAGACATGCAAACAGAAAACTGCAGTCAACAGTCAAATGTTATTTTAACTAGTGAAAAAATGTATTTTACGACATAATTTGCTTTCATTTACAATTTTATGAYAAATAGAATATTACATGTTAGCTTCGAGATACGAATTCTATACGTTCGTGAGAGATCTTTTCAACATTCGAAGATAAAACCCGGATCTCCGCGYGCCCATGTGATATTCTCTCTATATATATTTCTATGGTTAACTTTTCTTCCAGCTTGGSTTGTGTTATTCGACTTTGAGACAGGCATGCAGGGATGGAGTACGACTGGAACAGCATTTGATACTCAACCAACGTATAAGGACAATACATTGAAAAGAGGAAAAGGACCTGCAAAATTGAAGGGAAATTGGTGGATAGGTGGATATGAAAATCGTCCAAGTCCTGATGATGAGTATGGGAGGACATACGGCGATAGCCATAAGGGTACGATGACGTCACCCCCCTTTATAATAAGGGGACCTGAATTACGATTTCTGATTGGCGGTGGGTGTACTTATAACCATTGTAGGGCCGAGCTATTAATTGGCGAAAAAGTAGTTCGCAAGGAAAAGGGGGATTGCTCCGAAACTATGTCTACAAAGTACTGGAAAATCCCGCGGTGTTACCATGGCCTAAAAGCCCGAGTTCGATTGGTCGATGATTACAGTCGGGGCTGGGGGCATATCAATTTTGATCACCTCGAAGGGAATTTTTGCTCAAATGCTTAGTAACATTAGCAATATATCAGGGTAGATCGAACCACCAGGGAGGCGACGTTTTTTAAYAGGGAGTTATAAATGAAATTTTACAGAATATAAATTGTCCAATGATTGGTCTTGACTACAATATTAGAGATTGTACGCTTTGATTGGCTGATGCCGAGTGGTTGTAGCTCGCATCACCAGTTATTCAAACCAATTCAGTCGTTATGTTCAATKCGCAGTATTTTATAAATATCACAAATAAGAACAATTAATGCATGCTTATATGTCGCCGTTTTATTAAGCGTGGATTTCACTAGCGCATAAGCATAGGCATAAGCACGAAGCACGAGAGTCATATGCGCCAGTGAGAACAGGCTCAAAATAAGCATAAGCATGAGCACAAGAAAAACGAGCAAGGCTTGATCTTCTTGTGCTTATCTCATGCTTATCTCATGGTTATGCTCAGTGAGAACGGGACTGCATAGGCATAAACACAGCCTGGTACCGAAATAATACGCTCGTGCCCATGCTCAATGTCTTATGCTTATGTCGAGCCCGTTCTCACTGGCGCATATGATTCTCATGCTTGTGCTTATACTATGCTTATGCGCTAGTGAAATCCACGCTTTATTGTTTCATATTTTTAATGACTCGTCATTTGTTAATGCACTTCCTGAGCTCGTTTGCTGATCTGAACAAAAGAAAGAGAAGGTATGCAGGGGCGGATCTAGCATTTTTACAGACTAGTTTCCAACTAAAAAAATGTTGTATTGACATATGCTAATTAATTAAAACATGAATATTTATAACATCGGCCTGAAAAAAAAACAAATGTTTAAATAAATGTGAAATGTTTTTTTTTTTCTGTCGGCAAAATGATTCTAATAAACTAATGAACTAGTTAAGCCGATTCAGCCAACTTGTTAACATACACAAGGGACGGCAATGCGCCGCGGTAGATGACGCTAGCAACCGAATTCCAGAAAATTGTATTTCGAATTTAAATTATCAATTCTTAACTGTGTTTAATATGAACTTATTCGGTTCAAGCGTTTTCATTCTTTTTAAATCAAAAGAAATTATTTTCAATACATACCAAGCACGAAGAATGTTCACATGCATGAATCCGAATCTGTTTGGCGAATTCAATGTATACTACAGGAATTTCCTTTGAACAGTTTCACGAGAGGTTTATCCACATTCCGACACAAGAGCAACAGATCTAAACAGTGCTGGTAGTATTTCTGGCCTCGATCTTTTTTCCATTTGCTCAGTTAGTGTTGTTTTAGGGGCCAATCATTTCAAAATCTTTGCTAAACTGAATGGCACGAGGCCTTTGCTATGAAGACAGCATAACCTTACTAGGGTAGGGTAATCACTGGTTTCTACTGCTTCCGACTAGATTCTGGTTAGGTCCTACCCCTCCCTCGTACAAACCAAAGCTCGATTCTGATTGGCTGAAAACAGATTTCGGGTTTCCTGTGTGAACAAGAATTTATCTGGAAACCAGTCGGGATTCCTATGTGAATCAGTGCTACGTCATTTTGCACTAGTGCACTCTCAAGCGATAGTCCGCTGTCTAAGAGACATTGGGGGACTCTGGGCTCGTGATCGACAGTCTTGTGTCAAACATTTCGATGGGTCCCCTCCCACAAGAACAAAGAAGTTTATATTCCAAGTAGTAAATGTGGGTTTCCTGTGGTACAACTTTCAAAATGGCGGCCAAAGCGATCGTATTGCCATCTACCGGTAAAATACTCCAGTGAATACTCCATATTCTTTTCGTTTATATGATTTTATTTGAAGTATCGCTTTCAACTACATCTATTTTTTGAAAAATCTCACTAGTTTCCGGAAACTAGTTGAACTAGTCTAAATCCGCCCCTGGTATGGAGTTATTGGCTATGAGGAAATAACCCTCAAAGCCATGTTAATTTAATAATTAATAAAATCCATTTAACAGCAGCTAAAATCATATCCGACCAGTAAATGTGTGAGCACAAAAAATTGCCATAAATTAGAGGACAGGCAAGGAGAGGGTTTTTGAGCAGTAAGTCGGTGGCCAGAAAACAAATTTGACAGTCGCTATCCTATTTTGAGTGAAGCGTAAGGATTTATTAAAATGACGAATTGAAAAATTTTACCTGCACTTCCAGTGCTGCTCTCTACAACTAAAATACACACATTTCATAGCATTTCTGTGGGCCTTCTCAAAATAAGAATTTTCAAAGAGAAAAAGTAATTTTTAAAATATTGCCTATATTTGCACAACTAAAAACACAGAAATAGATAAATTACTATTACAATAATGGGAATGGAAATGTTGACTTTTCAATTTAATGGCATGGCGATTATTTGTATCAAGTAGAGAGTAACCACAAAAATACCTTTTATTTAGGTAGAACAATTCGAATTCTTGTATAGCTCGAAGTCYAAGATTCGTAGGCTATGCATAGTGCTCTAAATGAACTGACATCCTTTTCTAGTTCCCATAGTATTTATTATTTGCTATTCCATGYGTCTTATCATTGGACAATCCGTCCGGGATCACAGGTGCATTGTGAATGTGTAACCTATTTTTGACTGTTTTCTTCATATCCTCTTGAAATTTGTTAAAAACTTTCCCCTGCTTGTATCTTGTCATCTCTTCGAAACWTGACAGAAAGTAAAATTAGTTACAGCAATAAGGATTAATATGGCTAGTACTTTTGACAACATCCAAGATATATTTGCCGGTAACCAGTTTTTTTTTGTTTTTTTTTGTGGTTTTGGCCTTTGATGTCAATGCGTCGCTAATTCTTTTCTGTTTGCTCTCTTAAAAATGTCATCAAGAGCTGCCATTACTATAACCGAGAATATATCCTAAACTGCAGAACATTTCAATACATCTATTTGACATACAGTAAGACCCCCCTCCCCTCCCCCCTCCATTCTTGAAGTTCAGGCCGATTGTGTTSTTATTGAACGTGTGCTTCAAATCAGCCTGAGCGTGTTCTTTAAAGTTTCTACTGCTACCAACAAACCTACTCTAAATGTCTACTGCAAAAATATATGCAGCAGCCATTATGATTAAATAATAACAATGAAATAATAATAATGGAATGCTAGTAATGATATACTAATAAAAGCTTAGCTTGTGCAGGTTATTTTCTATTTTTAATGTAGCGACGTAGGTTTTATTCTGTTCCTCACGCTTACATATATTTCATGGGCCTAACTCGCCTCCTAAAGCTGGGTGGAATTCACGTTTTCGTACTCCTCGAGCAACTATTGATCGTTTTCACCCATTCCCATGAGATTCAAAAGACCGGTACCGCGGTCGAACTCTCTCTCACGCACAAAGCGCGACTCCTTAAAAGAGTCTACCAAGGCCCAAGGGACGATAAATAAACAACTTAACATTTCAAAGCGTCAAAATAAACCCCTGTCACAAAGATCACATTTTGATTTTTCAGGCTGATTGTGCTCTTATTTACATGGTACCTAAAACGCCGCAAATCAGGCTGGGTGTACTCAGTGTCTGATTATTATTATTATTGCATGAAATGCGAATTCAGCTTAGCCTCATATAGAAGCGCTTACAGTAACCTAGTGGACCAGCAGAATGACTTTCTACGTGTACAGTGTCTTTTCGCTACTGAAATGTTAACAATTTTTCCTCTTTGGTAATTTTTCGCTGGCAGGTATGGCACTTTGTCAATCTTTGAGAACATCTTTGGCAACTTTTGTGACCACAATTTTGGAAGACAACATCGCTTGGGAACTCCATGCAAATTTGACAAATTGCAATGCGCTCCATTTCTTCGAATTTTCCCTGTAGTTCGTTATACTTGTCTTCAAAGTTTTTCTTGAAATCTGTGAGAGATCTGTAAGGGTCTTCGCCTTCAAAGATCAAAAGAATAACATTACTGCGATACTGTTCGACTCAAGAAATACTTTGGCTGACCTACTGACACAGTTCTTGGCTTACTGGCTAGCTGACTGACCTCTTGGTAAACGCATTGATGAAGACTGCCTGTCGTATTACCAGTCTTGACAACTTCATATATTGCTGACGGACTAACTACCTTAGCAAAATGATGGCTGTCGGAATTAGTCTGGAGAAGTCTAACAAAGCTGAAAAACTCAGATGTACCCTATGACCGACTCTACAGCTTACTAATGGACGAAATAGTTTCAAGTTTAATTTTAATTTTAAAAAAGGGTATATAAAATTAGTTAAGTACAGGGAATCAACAAAAAAGTAAAAAAAAAACATTTTCCTTACCCGGTAATGTTTTCTTTTCAACCACCGCTTTGCACTTTAAACATCTCTTTGGTTTAAATGAGCAGGCTGAAGGAAATAGTTCCAAACCTTAGTCAATTTTTTAATATCATTTTGTCATCACCTCATCATCACCTCGACAAATAACGGTGGTTCTGCCATAATTAGCCGATAGCAAAACGAGCAGAATACTGGAACTTTCTCAAATGTGATTCAATGTATAGAAACCCTCTGTCACGTCACTGCATAAAGTACATCAAAATTGGAAAAAATTCAAACTTTGAGTAGATGAACCGAAATATATTTTTTCAAATAGTTCGAGAAATACAAAGGTCAGTTTTATGTTTGGTTAATCGGATATTGAAGTTTGTACCAAGTTTCTTTTTCATTTTGTTTTCGGCCAATTTCTTCTTTGAAATGGTATATCTCGGATGGTATGATATGATGAAAGCGAATTTTTGAACCAAACAAATCAAGAATCGTTCGTTTCCAATCAGTCTTCGATTTTCTGTTGGGAAGCTGAGAAAGATCTAGGTACAAGAATAACATAGCAGTTACTTACTCTGACAAACAACTTTGTGTTTGCAAGGCTCGAAGACAACTGCAGCTGCTTCTTCCTCACATAACATGCAGAGATCACCCTAAAAAAGATAGCTATTTATCATATAATTATCTATGAAATACCTATATTTCTCCATTTCGTAAACTTGATATCTTCACTAGTGAAAATAACATGTTATTTTATGTTATTTTCACTAGTGAAAATATCACATTCGAGGTTTCTCTATATAGTGGAAGTAAGAAAAAAGGTATTTTACGACATAATTTGCGTTCATATCCAATTATATGATAAACAGAATATTACATGGTCGCTTGGAGATACGAATTTTATCTTCTCGTGTTGAAAATCTCTCACTTGTTCGCTACGCTCACTCGTGAGAGATCTTTTCAACACTCGAAGATAAAATCCGTATCTCCACGCGCCCATGTAACATCCTCTATTTCAATTAGAAAGAAATATGCAAGGCTAATTTAGTTCAAAATGGACTATAATTATATGCCGCAACTAGATTCCACAGTGCCCATAGTTTGCCTCAATCCATTTGTTACAATTTGATCATTCCTTAATATAATTAGGCCCACTGTAGGTTTTCCCTACCTCCTTCCCTCCCCTGATAAAGAAAGAGACACATAATCAAAGAACAGAGCGACCAAACGCCGCAACGAATAACAAACTCTTGAAGCGAAATTGTACTGAATGAACAAATGACTTGATAAAATGAATAAAAAACGAAACGATCACTGTGCAAATGCGAAAACGTAACAAGTCGTGAATAAATGGATTAAAATTCAAAATCATGATTGAATAAACCTGCTTTAGCTGCTGATTAGGGTTGTGTGCTCTTACAGCAGGCTGTTCAGCCGGTGCTTTTATCTCAGACGAAAACTGGTTATTAGATTGCTTCCTTGCAGCACCAGCGCTCTCGATGTTTAGCANCACGCACAAAGCGCGACTCCTTAAAAGAGTCTACCAAGGCCCAAGGGACGATAAATAAACAACTTAACATTTCAAAGCTACAAAATAAACCCCTGTCACAAAGATCACATTTTGATTTTTCAGGCTGATTGTGTTCTTATTCACATGGTACCTAAAACGCCGCAAATCAGGCTGGGTGTTCTCAATCCACTCGTTCTTATAGATGCGGGGTCTTACTGTACTCAGTGTCTGATTATTATTATTGCATGAAATGCGAATTTAGCTTAGCCTCATATAGAAGCGCTTACAGTGACCTAGTGGACAAGCAGAATGACTACGTGTAGAGTGTCTTTTCGCTACTGAAATGTTTGTAATTTTTCCTCTTTGGTAATTTTTCGCTGGCAGGTATGGCACTTTGTCAATCTTTGAGAACACCTTTGGCAACTTTTGTGACCACAATTTTGGAAGACAACATCGCTTGGGAATTCCATGCAAATTTGACAAATTGCAATGCGCTCCATTTCGTCGAATTTTCCCTTTAGTTCGTTATACTTGTCCTCGAAGTTTTTCTTGAAATCTGTGAGAGATCTGTAAGGGTCTTCGCCTTCAAAGATCAAAAGAATAGTATTACTGCAATACTGTTCGACTCAAGAAATACTTTGGCTGACCTACTGACACAGTTCTCGGCTTACTGGCTAGCTGACTGACGTCTTGGTAAACGCATTGATGAAGACTGCCTGACGCATTACCAGTCTTGACAACTTCATGTATTGCTGACGGACTAACTACCTTAGCAAAATGATTATGGCTGTCGGATTTACTCTGGAGAAGTCTGACAAAGCTGAAAAACTCAGTTGTACCCTATGACTGACTCTACAGCTTACTAATGGACGGAATAATTTAAATTTTAATTTTAAAAAAGAGTATACAAAATTAGTTAATAAATAAGTACAGGGAATCAATAAATGTGGGTCAGTAAAAAAACATTTTCCTTACCCGGTACTGTTTTCTTTTCAACCACCGCTTTGCACTTTAAACATTCCTTTGCTTTAAATGAACAGGCTGAAAGAAACAGTTCCAAACCTTAGTCAATTTTTTAATATTATTTTTGTCATCACCTCATCATCACCTTGACAAATAACACGCACGGTGGTTCCGCCATAATTAGCCGATAGCAAAACGAGCAGAAGACTCAAATGTCAAATCTCAAATGTGAAACCCTCTGTCACGTCACTACATAAAGTACATCAAATTTGGAAAAAGTTCAAACTTTGAGCAATTTAAGGTCACTAGATGAACCGAAATATTTTTTTTCAAATAGTTCGAGAAATACAAAGATCAGTTTTATGTTTGGTTAATTGGATATTGAAGTCTGTACCAAGTTCCTTTTTCATTTTGTTATCGGACAATTTCTTCATTTAAGGTTACCGTGGCCCTTCCCGGCGTCAATTTTGACGGTTTTTTTTTAATTAACAGATTGCTTTACATGAAAGGGAATCTTTCTGATTCCAAAAAAATATTCTCGAAAAGTTGTTTCGTTCGCGAGCGGATATTTAGGGAAACCCATTTTATCGAAAAATGAATAATACTGCTGAGGTGTCGTAATCCCTAGATTGAGTGACGTCTCCCGTTGAGCGTCCAATGCTTGTGTTGTCGGCTTGTTCCGTTTTGTTGTCTTCTGCTTTCTCTCTCAAGTTAATTTAGGTTTTTGAACTTTCTTCTTTTGGTGCATATTTTATCACATGTAACTATTCTAAGCTTCCCGCGAAATCAGATATCCCGCGAAATCAAGAACATTTCCAGGCACACCAGGTGAGCCGTGTTTCTGATTGGCCAGTTGGTTGACCTTTCTTGACTGCGATGCAAGATGATGGTTTGATGTTTACACAACTTCATTGCTTAGTTTCTCGTTTCGTGTTTTTCGCGTGGTAGCGAAGTACTAAAAAGAGTCCAGTTCCTCGCGATTACGATAAAATGTTATGAAAATTTCTCCGAAGCACACGCAACTCATGAATAGGAAAACCGTGAGAGCGTTTCTCAAGTTACGTCTTGGTTTTTGTTTTATAAAGGTGTATATCAAATTACGACAAAACAAATGCATTCTTCGATTCAACTGTGATTTATTTCTAAACTAAGAAAAATATTAAAAATCGCTCACACGGTTTGACAGATGGTATTTGTTGACTTATACTGTACAGTACTTTCGACTATACGGCCAAACGTCTTGACACTGAACTCTTGCAAACAAGTGTACCTATGTTTAGTTCAGAGCGTCGAAACGCGTTCTGAATAATGCCTATTGTTATAAAAATTACATAGATATATTCTCTGATAATTCAGCTTTCATATGACATAAAATACTTAATAAAAGCGCGAGATCCAACGCGTCAATGATTTTTCAACGAACAGACGCCGCGAAGGGCCACGGTAACCTTAAATGGTATACCTCGGGTGGTATGATATGATGAAAGCGAATTTTGAGCCAAACAAATCAAGAATCGTTCGTTTCCAATCAGAGTTTCGATTTTTTGTTGGGAAACCGAGAAAGATCTAGGTACGAGAATAACATAGCAGTTACTTACTCTGACAAACAACTTTGTGTTTGCAAGGCTCGAAGACAACTGCAGCTGCTTCTTCCTTGCAGTACATGCAGAGATCACCCTAAAAACAAGATACTAGATATTTCATTTAGAAAGATATATGTATATAAAATATGCAAGGCTAATTCAGTTCAAAATGGACTATAATTATATGCCGCAACTAGATTCCACAGTGCCCATAGTCTTCCTTAATCCATTTGTTACAATTTTACCATTCCTTAAAATCATTAGGCCCACTGTAGGCTTCCCCTACCCCCTCCCTTTTAAAGAACTGATAAAGAAAGAGGAACATAATTAAAGAACAGAACGAACAAACGCCGCAACGAACAAACTCTTGAAATAGTAGTGAATGAACAAATAACTTGATAAAATGAATAAAAAAAACGAAGCGTGACAATCACTGTGCAAATAAGAAAGCATAACAAATCGTGAATACACGGATTAAAATTCAAAATCATGATTGAATAAACCTGCTTTAGCTGCTGATTAGGGTTGTGTGCTCTTACAGCAGGCTGTTCAGCCGGTGCTTTTATCTCAGACGAAAACTGGTTATTAGATTGCTTCCTTGCAGCACCAGCGCTCTCGATGTTTAGCAACTGTTGGCTCCCTTCATCGGCAAGGCATGGAGTTACAACAGACTCGGGACTGGTTGGGCCGGGAATTGCTGAAGACGTTACTTCTTGAGATTTAGGGGTTATGTGTAAACCTTGTAGGTGTGTATCTATTCCAGCAGGGGTGGGCATCGGCGGTTGGGGTGATTTTACGGCTGTTCGAGTGGATGGTAAGCATGTAGGTCGTGGAGATGGAGAGACGGGTGCTTTTGTCGGTATCGTCCTTCTTTGCGAAGATACTTCACAAGGATTGTTATGCCTTGAAACAATATTCAAAAGGCATCCGTTCAGTTGTATTTTAAGTAAATCTTAAAATAATCAGCATGTAGTATCATGGTGGAAGTATTTAAGTTATATAAGTGAGAAGGTAAAAGTTTGGTTGTGATACTCTGCCTATTTCCTACACGATGGTTCTCCCAGAGAGTGTCATGACAGATACGGCTTTGCTATGCATCGACTAACACCTGTTTACATGAGATAGGCTAACTCTTTTGTTTTTTTCCAAAGAGTCTAACACAAACAGCTCAACAAAATACTTTGATTAAGAATCATAACCACCCGACGTACCTTGCGAACCGAAGCGCCATTTTAGGTGGACACGAAAATGGCGGGTTCGTAGGATTTCTTAAAGTGAGCGAGAATAGTCTTCCGTCCTTTCAGTTTGGACAGAAATGCCTTTAACTAAGTACCTCACAGGTGCTATCAATTTATATTTTATCGTATGCAATTAAACGTATGTAAACAATAATACGAGCGCGCAAGATACGGCAGGTGGTTATGATTCTTTAAGATCTCGAAAGAAATTCCTGTCACCATGACAAGCTTTTTACTTTTTACTCGGTGATTAGTTTTCCTATTCGAACCAAAACGCTAGAAAGAACCTGGTTTTGATAAGGCTATTCACCTTGTACTTGCTATGATAAAGGATTGCAGCTTTTTATCGATACATAGATCAATCGGTGTTTTGCCTTGGTGATTCCTGTGGTTAACGTCTGCACCTCCTTGGTAAACAAGAAACAGAGCAATTGCTGAATTGACATTGGTTTCGCATGAAGTAGAACCTTTGCCCAACAACTGAGCCAAGTCAAGCTGGCAAAAATTAAAATAAACATCATCAGTTATACATTGCTAGAGCTAGAGACTCTCGTAATGTTTATTGCTACAAGACATATATATTTTCATCAAGATATGTAATTTCAGGAATTTTCCTGAGGCTACAAATTGCAAACCTAGCCACCCTTCCTGGCGTACGCCTTGGCACGTAAGACTTACTTTTAACAACGCCTCATCATATAGAGCAAACGCAGAAAAACCATAAGACCAAACTAAGAACAAATAACGGCCATTTAGAGGCTATTTGTTTGTACTTAGTTTGGTTGTATTTCATGGTTTTCCTGAGTTTGCTCTAACATTCAGGGACTTGTTAATGCATATTATAGTTTGAAATAATTGATTGTTGGTGTTTGAAAACATTACCCCTAAGAGTCCAAGAATCTTTGCGCGATTTTCTCAAATACAAAAATCCGACCCAATCAGAAAGCAGTTATCAACAGGAAATCATTTGCAAAATGAAATGAACGACCGCAAAGGTCCTCGGATGCATTTGGGTCTTTAACATGTGTTTACCCCTAAGAATGACATGCAATGTTTCATGATAGCCATGTGAAGCGGTGTATCACCATCGTCGTCTTCTATATTGACGTTGGCTTGATGTTCAATCAATAACTCTATCATTGGTTTATCACTTTCTCCTACAGCGATCGACAGTGCTGTCCTACCCTCCTTGTTCTTGAGATTAATGTTACAATGACCCTAACATATGACACAAAAAACTGCTGTTAAATGACAATGCTGCCTATCAAGTTCACGACCATACCAGAGGGAATTTACTGAGGTTTTCCAATGCGAAATTCTGAGCGGATAGGTTGGATAATTCTTGTCAAAGTATTGCAAGACTTGCTATTACATTGATAGTTCTAATCCACTATAAGCTTAACCCCCCGGGGTTAAAAAAGTATTTAATTCGCCCTGTGGGGTTTCGGGGACTACGACAAATTATTGGACAAATCATTGGACTGAGGCGAGTAATTGTGCACTGAGCAATCTTTTTTTTTTCTTCTCCTTTTTCCTCAGTTTTATACAGTCGACCCCATTAACGTTGATTACTCGTAAAGACATAATAATAACAACAGAGCCACTAGCATAAAATGGTGTGTGTTTTTTTTTATTCTTGCGAAGGATTTTGATTTAAAACTCCAGTTCATGCTTGTAAGTTAAATGTTATTGACATAGTCATAAAGTCTGGAACTAGGAACTTGAGGTTGAATACAGCCTTTTGCACAAATTATGAGACATTTTTATATATATAAATATACAGCCTTTTGCAAAAATTATGAGAATTGTTGAAATATCTAAATATCATAATATCGAGTGCATGATGGGTAATCCCGCGCGATGCCCTTAGTCCCTTGTCTTTGTAGTTTAGTTTTTTTTTTGGCGACAGACTTATCCGTAGTTTTGAACATTTTCTCGATGTCAACAATGAATTATTCTAGCAAACCCGCGTGTTCCGTACAATATATGGATATGGATATTATGATATTTAGATATTTAGACAATTCTCATAATTTTTGCAAAAGGCTGTATATTTATATATATATATAAATGTCTCATAATTTGTGCAAAAGGCTGTAATTTTGTAAAAAATACAAATATGATACATGCAAATGACTTTGTTGTCTTTACGTATTTACAAATGAGCAATTTTAATGGCCATTGACTGTAAAACACTAAGAAAGCAAAGAAACGTAAAGTGAGCAAGGATGATCAACTGCTTTGTTCTCTCACAGACAAAAGCTTACAGATAGAATTATCTGCCTTGCAATCCCGCAGCGATTATTCAGCGCAGCTAGATGTAAGGCGGAAAATCCATCCTCCTTTATCATATCCACCAGACCAGGGTATTTTTCTATAAGTATCTCTGCGACCCTGAAAAACAAACCCGTGTACAAGATTTCATTAACAATAAATTCGATAAAAATACAAGAGAAGCTTCTGTAGCAAACAACACCTTTACTGAAAAATTGACATGAGCGACTGAGTAAGTGACTGTTACTCGGTGCAGTTTTTCGCGTAATGCAAGATGGAGGACATTGAGGCCTCTGTCGTTGAAAATTGACTGAGCGAGCGAGTGAATGAGTGACTGAATTGATACTCACTCGGTGCAGTTCTTCACGCAAGCAAGATGAAGAACATTGAAGCCTTTGTCATTAAAAATTGAAGGATCAAGTTCGTCGCGTTTTGCCTCTAAAATGGCCTTAGCATTCTTTGATTGACCAAGGAGTATGGTACAATGCAATGGCGTGTCACCAGCGTTGTCCTATTAATAATAAATAATAATACTTTAAACACACTGGCCTGTTTTTAAGGTCCAAAAACCTTTGTGAAATATAAAATAATCGTATGGCTTTCATATGGGGTAGTGCATTGAAGTTTTGTGCTTCCTTTAGCGAATCCACTGCCATATATAGCAACAAACAAAATGACCGACTGTTCTCATATCTGAACGTTATAGAGACGATTTCAATTTTCGCCCAATATCAGTCCACATGTACTTCCAAACAAGTTAAAGTTATCATATATAGCTACTAAACGAAGAAAACTTTTCTAAGGCATTTTTTTGATATTCGATATCATCATACTCAAATTCGCCATCTCAAATTCTCATTTTAAACCAATGAGAAAGTACCTTACAACAAAAGATCATTTGAAAAACAGAAGAAGCAATCGCATGTATGTGGGCCTTTGACATCCCCAAACAAGAATTCCCTCTTTTTTGTTTGCTATATTTATATATTTTGTATTTTATATGTTATGAATGTGATCTTCGCAGTGTAAATGATAATCTATGCGATTAGTAAGAAATGTATGGATCGCCCGAAAGATTTTCTGTATTTTACCTGCACATTGACATCACAGTGTCTAAACTGTGTGAGTGCAGTCACTGCTTTTTCGTTGTTTTGCTGGATAGCAAGATGAAGCGGTGTAACCTTCGTCTTGTCCGTACCGTCAATCACGTTCACATTGGCATTGGCACTGAGCATGATCACTACGCATGCGCCCGACTTGTCCCTAGTGAGACGTAAATTCACTCATTTAAATAAATCTAACTGAAAACAGAAGTAGTTGAGTTCCAAAGGTTACATCATCAAAGCTACAAGCTATGTTGGGCCCCAAACAAACCCTCCTTCCATACTGAAATATTCCCGCCAACAACATTGTCAACAACATTGACTTTGGGGGTAGAGGGGAGGATAAAAACAGCCCATAAGAGAGCGTTTCTGCTAAANGTCGTGAAAACTGATATGGAGAGACGGGTGTTTTTGTCGGTGTCGTCCCTCTTTGCGAAGATACTTCACAAGGATTGTTATGCCTTGAAACAAAATTCAGAAGTCCATAAATGCAGTTATCTTGTAAGTATAGTTTAAAACACGAGAGAGTGTTTTATCAGGTATAAAGATTCGAGCCGAAGGCGAGAATCTTTATACCGATATAAAACACGATCTCGAGTGTTTTAAACGGCTTCAAAAACTCCAACGCTAATTTGAAACTCAAATCCGTTAAAATTCTTGGAGAAATTGCCGTACAAATGTGTTCAGAGATAAATGGGGCAAACTGATCATGCGCGAAGCATTTTACAAAGCACTCGTCATCCCACATTGAATCAGCATAAAGTAAAATAGAAGCGCTCTTGGCTGCGCACTGCAATCGGTTGACATCCTGCATTGGTCAATGATCAGGTTTCAAACCTGAGACCTTTGCTAGGGTCATGGACCTTTATGTCTGATAAAGGTCACCCTTATTAGTATTCTTTAAATAAAGAATACTAATAAGGAGTGTTTTATCAGATATAAAGGTCCATGCATGTGACCAAATAGGCTCATTTTATTGGCCTAGTAACTCATTAATTATGTATGAGTTTTTGAAGTAAATATCAAAACGATTAGCATGTAGTATTATTGTAGGGGAACTAAATTTATTAAAATGTTGGTTGTGATCCTGAGTCTATTTCTTGCACGATTGCCATTTCTCAGAGAGTGTCATGACAGATACAGCTATTTGACTAAGTATTAAGTTGGATTCTTTTATGAGAGCCATGGATGGACAAACAGCTAAACCAAATACTTTGTTTAAGATCCCAAAACAATTCCTGTCAAACCGCGACACTCTCTCTGAGAGTAATGCCTTCAGTTTTACTATTCGTACCAAAACGCTAAAAGAACCTGGTTTTACTAGGTTATTCACCTTGTACTTCCTATGATTAAGGCTTGCAGGTGTTTGTCTATACAAAGATCAATCGGTGTTTTGCCCTGGTGATTCCTGTGGTTAACGTCTGCACCTCCTTGGTAAACAAGAAACAGGGCAATTGCTGAATTGACAGTTTTGGTTTCGCATGAAGTAGAACCTTTGCCCAACAACTGAGCCAAATCAAGCTGACAAAAAAAAATAAAATAAACATCATCAGTTGTAAATTGCTAGAGCTAGAGACTCTCGTAATGTCTATTGCTACAAGATATATATTTTTATCAAGATATATAACTTCAGGAATTTTCATATGTGCATTGGCACATAAGACTTTTAACAACGCCTCATCATATAGAGCAAACGCAGGAAAACCATGAGATAAGACCAAACTAAATACAAACAAATAACGGCCACTTAGAAGCTATTTGTTTGTATTTAGTTTGGTTGTATTTCATGGTTTTTCTGAGTTTGCTCTAACATTCAGGGACTTGTTAATGCACATTATGGTTTGAAATAATTGATAGTTGGTGTTACCCCTAAGAATCCAAGAATCTTTGCGCGATTTTCTCAAATACAAAAAAAAAATCCGACCCAATCAGAAAGCAGCTATCAACAGAAAATCACTTGCAAAATGAAATGAACAACCGCAAAGGCCCTCGGATGCATTTGGGTCTTTAACTTGTGTTTACCCCTAAGAATGACATGCAATGTTTCATGACAGCCATGTGAAGCGGTGTATCACCATCGTCGTCTTCTATATTGGCGTTGGCTTGATGTTCAATTAATAACTGTATCATTGGTTTATCACTTTCTCCTACAGCGATTGACAGTGCTGTCCTACCCTCCTTGTTCTTCAGATTAATGTTACAATGACCCTAACATATGACACAAAAAACTGTTGTTAAATGAGACCACTCGACAATGCTGCCACAATGCGACCATACCAGGGAGAATCTATTGAGGTTTTCCAATGCGAAATTCAAGGCGTTAGATTTGATAATTCTTGCCAAAATATTGACTTGCCATTATATTGATGGTTCTAAACCACTATAAGGTAAATCCCCCTCTTTAAAAAACTATGTCATTCACCGTATGGGGTTTGGGGTGACTACGACAAAACATTGGGCCGAGGCGAGTAACGCCGTACTGGGCAGATTTTTTCTTCTTCGCCTTTTTCCCAAGTTATATACAGTCAATCCCATTGACGTTGTTCACTTGTAAAGACATAAAGACAACAGCAAAGCCACTTGCGTAAAATGTTTTTTTTTTTCGATTCCTGTGAAGGATTTTGATTTAAAACATCCACATCATCCTAGCAAGTTAAATGTTCATGAAGTATTAGGCTTGGCGTTGAATAATTTTGCAAAAAATACAAATATGATATATGCAAATGACTTTGTTTTCTTTACGTATTTACAAATGAATAATTTTAATGGCATTGACTGTAAAACACCAAGAAAGCAAAGAAACGTATGGAGAGCAAGGATGATCAACTGCTTTGTTCTCTCACAGACACAAGCTTACAGATAGAATTATCTTCCTTGCAATCCGGCAGCGATTATTCAGCGCAGCTAGATGTAAGGCGGAAAATCCATCCTCCTTTATCATATCCACCAGACCAGGGTATTTTTCTATAAGTATCTCTGCGACCCTGTAAAACAAACCCGTGTACAAGATTTCATTAACAATAAATACGATAAAAATACAAGAGAAGCTTCTGTAACAAACAACACCTTTACTGAAAAATTGACTGAGCGACTGAGTAAGTGACTGTTACTCGGTGCAGTTTTTCGCGTAATGCAAGATGGAGGTCATTGAGGCCTCTGTCGTTGAAAATTGACTGAGCGAGCGAGTGAATGAGTGACTGAATTGATACTCACTCGGTGCAGTTCTTCACGCAAGCAAGATGAAGAACATTGAAGCCTTTGTCATTAAAAATTGAAGGATCAAGTTCGTCGCGTTTTGCCTCTAAAATGGCCTTAGCATTCTTTGATTGACCAAGGAGTATGGTACAATGCAATGGCGTGTCACCAGCGTTGTCCTATTAATAATAAATAATAATACTTTAAACACACTGGCCTGTTTTTAAGGTCCAAAAACCTTTGTGAAATATAAAATAATCGTATGGCTTTCATATGGGGTAGTGCATTGAAGTTTTGTGCTTCCTTTAGCGAATCCACTGCCATATATAGCAACAAACAAAATGACCGACTGTTCTCATATCTGAACGTTATAGAGACGATTTCAATTTTCGCCCAATATCAGTCCACATGTACTTCCAAACAAGTTAAAGTTATCATATATAGCTACTAAACGAAGAAAACTTTTCTAAGGCATTTTTTTGATATTCGATATCATCATACTCAAATTCGCCATCTCAAATTCTCATTTTAAACCAATGAGAAAGTACCTTACAACAAAAGATCATTTGAAAAACAGAAGAAGCAATCGCATGTATGTGGGCCTTTGACATCCCCAAACAAGAATTCCCTCTTTTTTGTTTGCTATATTTATATATTTTGTATTTTATATGTTATGAATGTGATCTTCGCAGTGTAAATGATAATCTATGCGATTAGTAAGAAATGTATGGATCGCCCGAAAAATTTTTCTGTATTTTACCTGCACATTGACATCACAGTGTCTAAACTGTGTGAGTGCAGTCACTGCTTTTTCGTTGTTTTGCTGGATGGCAAGATGGAGTGGTGTAACCTTCGTTTTGTCCGTACCGTCAATCACGTTCACATTGGCATTGGCACTGAGCATGATCACTACGCATGCGCCCGACTTGTCCCTAGTGAKACGTAAATTCACTCATTTAAATAAATCTAACTGAAAACAGAAGTAGTTGAGTTCCAAAGGTTACATCATCAAAGCTACAAGCTATGTTGGGCCCCAAACAAACCCTCCTTCCATACCGAAATATTCCCGCCAACAACATTGTCAACAACATTGACTTTGGGGGTAGAGGGGAGGATAAAAACAGCCCATAAGAGAGTGTTTTTGCTAGAGCGCAGTAATAGCGCTCTGTCCCATTTCATGACGACT